GATTTTTATAGAAGGGATTTTGGATTTCTCTTTTTATCACTCCATAAATCACAACATACTGTCAACAGAAAGAAAACAAATGCATTTTCACCATGTTTTTAGGAATTAAATGTTGTATAAATCAGTGTGAGTGATATATGAACAAACCCTTCAGTAAAACCCTTCAAAATATAAATATAAACAAAACTCTAAGTTTTGGTGTGTGTAAGTGCTGCTGAAGTGAAGAAAAAAAGCTCACAACCTTTAAAGACATGCATTTTCGCCATGTTTTTAGGAATAAAATGTTGTATAAATCAGTGTGAATGAAATATGAACAAACCCCTCAGTAAAAACCTTCAGAATATAGATAGAAATAAAACTCTAAGTTTTGGTGTTTGTAAGTGCTGCAGAAGTGGAGAAAAAAAATGTAAAGATATGTATTGTAATTGAAATCTACAGACGCAAATAGATACAGTGCAATAAAACCTGTGTGTATTTTGGATGTTTTCTTTCCACCAGTTTGAAACAATGCTTTATGAAAAGCCAAATAGCCCAAAATCTCAAAACTGACCACTGCAATGCATCCTATAGTGTCTTGACTAAATAATGTGTAAATATTTGGTGTAAAAAAAAAAAAACTAAAGATCTGATCTAATGATTTCCTTTTTTTTAAATACCTTTTTTTAAGACATGCAACAATTAAAAACATAAAAGTGCATGTAATAGTATGATTCATCTTATATCCAAATTAAAACGCTTTAATTTCATATTTGGTTGTAACATATTACAAGTTACATATCATTTGTTATCTGAAATTATAGTAATTATCCCCTGTCAAACATAAAACCAAACCAATCTTAGTTCAACCAATGTTTAAAAATGAAGTTAAAAATGGAACAATTTATGTGTTTATATTCTGATCAGCAAATATATTTCATATGTACATGTGGCTCTTTGTCAATGCAGTTGAATCAGAACACAACTGAACCTGCAGCTCAAATAGAGCCATGAGGGTTTATAATAGACGCATCACTGTCAGAGTAAATCTGAGACTTTATCTGTCCACTGTAACCCGCTTTACGCTTCTGTGAACTCTAAAAAACCTGCGGCTTAAATGAACTGAGACTCACCATCAGACATCCACTGGATCTAAACATGGAGCAGAATTTCTGCATCTCCACAGGGTTCTGCTCGATTCTCAACTGAACTGAAAATTACGTTTAAAGTACAAATCTATTATGCAATTTGAGTTTAATTTGAATTGAGGCAGCAATTCGGCAACATTAATGTAACAAAATAGAATTAAAATTGACTGAAGTTCAAAGAAATACATATAACTGTCTTTTTAAACAAAAACTAAATTGGAATGTAGATTTGACAAAACCTTGATTTAAAATGTAGATTTTTAATAGAACTAGATAAGCCTAGATAGATAAATAGATAGGACTTAAAGCTTAAGTGTTAAGAGCAACACAATTAGAAGGCAATAGTTTTTTAATATAATTTGTTAATGAAAATAGTAAATAGTAGTTATTAAAACAAAATAACTTCTTTCATGTCTTCTGATTTTTTTCTGGTATATCTGTGCGAGTTGTAATGGTTTATATGTTAAAACACTAATTAATTATAAGATGAACATGCAACATAATCAAAATAGACAGTATATGGTGACATACTGTAAATAGTAGACAGTGTACAGTGTGTTTTATGATGTGTAAACTCCAGTGGTTCAGAACTCTTGTCTGATTTTGTTGACATATTAGAGTTAAAGGTTTTTCCACTCCATAAATCAGAAAATACTGTCAACAGTCAGAAAAACGATACAAAAAAACGATTTTTGCCATGTTTTTATGAATGAAAATGTTGTATATATCAGTGTGAATGATATATGAACAAACCCCTCAGTAAAAACCTTCAGAATATAGATAGTAATAAATCTATAAGTTTTGGTGTATGTAAGTGCTGCTGAAGTGGAGAAACAAACTCACTGCCTTTAATAATATGCATTTTCACCATGCTTTTAGGAATAAAATGTTGTATATATCAGTGTGAATGATATATGAACAAACCCTTCAGTAAAAACCTTCAGAATATAGATAGTAATAAAACTCTAAGTTTTGGTGTATGTAAGTGCTGCTGAAGTGGAGAAACAAACTCTTAAAACATGTATTGCAATTGAAATCTAGATGCAAATAGAAAAAGTGCAATAAAACAAACACTTAAATGTGTTTGGGGGATTTTTTTTCTTTACACTAGTCTGAAACAACACTTCATGGAAAGCTAAACAGCCTAAAATCTACAAATTGACCAAAGCATGAAAAAAAGAGAAAAAAAGAAAGAAATTGCTAGTAAATTTTACAAATTATTACAAATAAACAGCAAGTAACACATTAAATTAAACACGAAATGTTGAAGTAGAAAGACTGAAAATGTATTTTCTTGGAAAATATACTCTAATAATTTTAGTATTATTTACAGTTTAAAAAAAAAAAAAATTTTTACAGTCTATTTTTAAAAAAGTGAAACAGTATGCATTATTCCATGCTGAACAAACAGTGTGTGATTGTGTGCTGATCCTGCACTGCCTTCTGCTGGTCGTGATGCAGCAGCTCCGTTCTGCTCTTTCTGATTTTCACAATCAGATTCAGCTGCACATCTTTAATATCTGATCAATCTATTGCTGTTAGAAGATTTCCACAGATATCAGAGAGACGGACACAAAGTTACTGGCTGAGTCCAGAAGCTCCAGTGAAGCAGCTGAAGCTTGGTTCTCTCCTGCAGCAGGTCAAGAGAGTTTCAGGAGTTCAAAGATCTTCATCATCATGAGCGTCAGGAGTTTCTGTGCTCTGCTGCATTATTGTACAGGAAGTACAGTCAGGCTGCACAGACGACACACGCTGATGCACTGCAGCACTGAGTGTGTTCAACACACACACACACGTTTGTTTCTGTGAATTGTGGGGACTTTCCATAGACTTCTATTACTTTTATACTGACCAAATGATATGTTCTATCCCCTAACCCTAAACCTACCCCTTACAGAAAACCTGTTTGCATTCTTACACTTTCACATAAACATCATTTACTATTTTTAATAATTTTCTCCTTCAGAATGTCAAAAATGTCAGGTTTTACTATCCTTGTGGGGACATTTGGTCCCCACAATGTACCATAAACAAGAACACATACACGCACAGACACACACACACACACACACACACACACACACACGTCACTAGCATGCTCCTCATGCTCTGTGCGTGTGATGTGAGTCTGACATCATGCTAGAGATGCACGATTATGGA